TATTCGACCTCGCCCGCCATCTCCACCCGGTCGCCGCCCTCAACCCGTGTGCCTCAGGTCAGCGGGACCCTCTGTCTTCAAGTGTCACTATACTTCATTTTATTTGCATAGGTTTTAGGTCTTAGGTCCGAGGTCCGGAAAGGCTGTTGCTATTGCGTTTCACTAGGAATCCAATAGCTTTATCACGTGTCTCTAACGCCAAGCACTATGGAGATTCGTACAAGGTATAGCGAAACGCATTTCTGGTAATCAGTTTTCTTACATACAGTATTGATTTTATAAATATATTGAAAGTATTATATAAAAATTCGCATGGAATATCAAACTATATTGAAGGTAAAGAAATGAGTATATCTCCGAATAAAACGCTGACTTCAGACATTGCTTTGAGATTCATGCGTTTTTAAAATTTTAATTTGTGAGAAGACTAGAATCTATGCCAAAAGTTTTCAAACTTGTTTGTCCCGTAGACTCAAGAGCCCAAGTTTTTCGGTTTTTCATAGTCTCCTTCCTGGGTGTAGTTTCAAAACTACCTTGAACCATCCATGGGGTCCATGAACACCAGTGGGAACCATGGGTCTAGACCCTAGATCGTATTTTAAATTTTGTACTATATATTTCAAAATTAAATTTCACAGCCTGATTATGGGGACAACAATTCCCGAAAACGTTGCACGATGTTTATGATTAATGTTACAAGAATTCGTCTGTCAAAAATATGGACCCTAACCCTTTGCAAAATTTTAAATGCACGTAAGGCTGCAAACAGCGAGGTATATAAATAATATGACCTCTGTAACATTTAAATACAATAATTATGATCCTTGGAAACTAAATATAAGTTAATACAATTACTTTAAGTATAACAATGAACATTTTAGTAAAGACTATTAGATTGTATCACAGGTATGATAGTTTGGAAAATTAGGAAAATTTCACAGCTCTCCAAACATACGAATATTACGAGAAACTATTTGGAAGACTTATTGATTCAAGTACACTCTGTACTGGCCTTAATTTCCACCTTTGTTTTAGCAGTTAATATTTTCTTACCTTTTGTTTTCTCATGTCAATGTGTATCAAAAACAAAATTGACTGGAGTTTGTGCATATCTCCAAATTACTCTCTGACAAATGAAAACCCCAATAATTTTTTTTTTTTTTTTAATGGTATTGAAACTACCTTTTCGTATTCAGTTTTCCGCACGACTACCAGACGAAACTGAGCAAGATGTAATCGCATACATGCAAATTATCATAATACTGTGTCAGTCGAAATGGCACTCGCCGTGATCCTATTGATAACCCAAATGGCACTTCGCCATAGATTTCCCATTTGCTACTGCTACTACATTTATATTGCCACGAAGATTGTTCTCATCTAAACATTAACAAAAATAACTATTCCTGGCCAAACTGTCTATTAGTCTAACCAATGCAACGGCAGAATCTTCTATGCAAATGGCCTAAACTACATTTCCTTCATAACAGAGCACTATTTATATCCTAGATTTTCTTCTACTTCAAAACGCTGACGAACCCTTCGCTTGACCGAAATGAGTTCCGTAGACCCTCTGCTCCGACGAAGGTCCGTTCCGTGTCCAGCAACCGGCCTCTCCACCCCCTCCTCCACGATGCGCCAACGCTCTGCAGCGAAAACGTAGCCGCCAGGGGCGACACTCGCCCGCCACGGGTCTCGAACCGGTTTGGTCGGAACTAAAATACATTCACTCGGAGAACGTATGTGTGGGGGAGAGAACCGGTTTGGTGCTGCGAGTCGTGGCTGTACGAGGCTAGTGGCTGCTGCGAAGCAGAAGTGCTTTGCCGGCCCACTCGCGCCAGTAACATACTACTGCTCGCAGCTCAGTGTACCCAGAACGTGCTCCAACCGCGGAGCGACGTCAGTGTTGTTATAAGGAAGTGCAAGTTGAAATACTGTGACCAACAATTACAGATGCAGTCACCTTTTGCCTGTAGTATTAAAACAGATTGATCACCGGATTATTTTCTTCCTTTCAATTGTTGTATTACGCCCATTCCCTTAAATTAAACTACAAATATTATATTTACTGAATCTTGAAGTTCATTCTCTTTTTGAACGGTTCCGTTAATTTATTAAATATTTTGTACCAGATCTTATGATGGCTAAGCCATCGAAAGTTGCATGTGCATTAAGTACTACATCAGCACGTACTTTCGAACTTGCAATTTCAGAAAATTCATAGAGTTCAACGAATAACGATTTCTGCGTCATCCTTTTAAGCATACCTTGTACTATTTGTGAAAAAATTAAAGAAAAAAATGGAGCAGGTTTTAAGATTTTAAAAATAAATTTAATTTCCTTTAAGCAGAAGTTACGCGAAAAGTACTAGTTTAAAAAAGTATATGGCTTCTTTAAGATTATTTTTTAACCCATTTAAGATAAAAATATCTTCAATTTTGTAGTTTTGCAATGTTTTGAAATAGCCGAAAATGTGCCCAGCACCAATTTTTGGTCCGTACTTTGATACATACGAGGAAAGTTTTTGATAAAATAATTGTTTAAAATTATCCTTTCAAAACATTGCACGGCCTAATTTTAAGATGTTTTAGAAGGATAGATTTCATTACGGAAAACATCTCTATATTCAATATTGTGGTTGCAGGAAGAAGCCGAAAAAATTATGAACTTTTATATTTTTCGAAAAATCGGGGATTTGAACAAAAATGTGACCTGCGCCATCATTTTAAGCGTCCTTTGCGCTACCCGAGGAAAAAATGTTGAGGCATCACGTAAAGTACCCCTAGAAACAAAATATCCATGTCCAACTCGCAAAGCATAGTGTTCGTTTAGATTGATTCGGAAATATCAATTTTGAATAAAATCGGCTGTACGGTTTAGGTGCTAGTGTAGACCACAAATGTTTTGCCTTCAATTGATTTTTTAGTATTAAGGACCCATAGAACATAAAATTCTTAGAACATAAGACAACGCTTTGGAGAAGTCATTTCCAACATAGCATAGGAACAAGTTTTATCCACTTTTTCGTTACCAGGGCCAGAGTTTTCTGTCGAAAAATTTGTTTTTCGGCGCACAATTACAATACTCTTTCTTTCGAAGAAAAGTAAGAAAGAGGTCAACACTTTTTATTCAGATATGCGGCCAATAAGTCAATACCACGTATTCCATCTACCGAAGCTTTGTATTTAACTGATCTTGATCAGAAAACATTCTTCTCCAGAATGTAGTGCCTGTATAAGGCAGCGTGGCAGGTCTTCGGCAAGATCGCAGAAATATCTCAGAGCGGGGACGTAGCATTCAACTTCTTTAAGCTGCGGCTTATCGTCTCCGGAAGTTGTGACTAGATACTAGTTGAGGAAGGCAGTTCGGATTAGACTTAGTTTTGCAAAGACCTGGTGTTGGACGGGAAGTGCATTGTTTTCCTTCGTTGTGTTCAGTAAATAGAAAATATCACCGATACGCAGCCTTTATTTTAATGTTGGTTATAACGAAACTTCCTTACATCACATCAGACCCAAGCACTGAACAAAAGCATTGGGACTAGTATAGTATGGAAGATGGCTTTCTTTATTTCATATGAAATGTTATATTTTAAACAAAATGTGAAAATGAAGGGCATATTGACTGAAGATAGATTCATATTATTGGAATAGTCATTGTCAATGTACACCTTTTGTTTCAAACTCAGTAAGTCAAGATTTTTGTTCCTACGGGTACGAAATATATTGGTATCTTAAAAATGACTTATAGCGACAGTAGTTTGCGTCTAGAGTGTGTGGGAAAGACGAACAATGTAGTGAAGAGTAAATACCTTGCATCACAATACAGAATGATTTGTTAATTAAAAGGAGTTCTTTAATAGGTAAAATTACACTTCGTATCATTTTTGTACATTTATTTGCAAACACGTTGGATATTTCCAGCTGCGAACAGAACACTACTTCTGACGGGATAATCCTGTCACCAGAGCGAGGGGTGGGGTGAGACGGAAGCCCAGTGCGGCGAGTTTTTATTCAGCTTGTATTACGTGTACGGAGCGGAGCGCGGGTGGCGCGGTGTGGAGGAGAGGGGTGGGGACGGAAAGAGACTATTTATAACCTGGTTATGTAAGCCCTCCAGCCCCTGCCTCCCCCCAGGTACGCGGCGACAAGTTCCGCAAATTGCCCCTCTCCCAGCCTCCGGCGGTGGCGGCGGCGTTGGCCTCTCGTGGGTGGTGCGCGGCCGAGCCCCCCGCCAGAGGCCCGCTTGGCGAGCACCTTAACCAAGGCCGTGCCCCTGGCAACATAACGCAGTCTGCCTAAGTAGATATCGCTTAAGAAGAGTTTCCCTTCCCGCGGATCAGACTATAATAAAACGCTTACACCCTAAAAGTGTCTATAAAACTTGATATGGTGCGAGGTACTTTGGTTCTAAATGCCGCTCATTTTAACTTCATAGAAAAAAGTCTGGAAATGAAATAAATTTCTCAATAAAATAACTCTTAGGACAGGATCATAAAAAGGTGCCTGAACCTATACCAGTATCATTTTTTCTGCAATCACTTATCAGATACCACACTTGCCTTTTATTCTACAATAAATCTCTACATGAAATGAGACATATGAGAAATCTTCAACACGTCTGGTTTTTAGAAGCAATAAAATATATGTCCTTGAACTTTAATGTATATTTTAAACGCAGTGTACTAATTTGTAAACCGACTATTTACAGTCATTTAACGGACAACTTTGGCAAAGAAGCCTTTGGAGCGACAATCATTCACTTTATTCAAGTGCGGTTACATGATACTGTCTTTCCCATACATTTGACATCTCGGGCGATTTTAAGATAGCACTTTCCTGCCGCGCCAGCGTATATTATTAGCAGCAGCGACGACCAGTGAAAGTGTGTGTACGCCTGTGACTCGCGTGCAAAACCTACGCGCCGGCCAGCCGCGCTTTTTTCTCTTTGCACCTTCTGCCGCGGGCGACGCCCATCTCCGCGGGCCGCCTGGCGCCGTGGCGTGCGCTCGCCCGAGTTCAGCATCTAACAAGACTGTTGTAGAAGTTCCACCGCGGCCACTTTATTAAGATGCTTAGAATTAAGTTATTGCGAAGAATTAAGTTACAGAATTAATGCAGTCTGTTTCCTTAATTACATTTTGATCGATTACTGGGAAATGTTAGTTCTATACAAAAATTGGGAGATATAATCGCGACTAATTAATTTATTCTTCTTAATAAGATGATTAATCTTATGCCATCTAATTTACGCCGCATTTCAATTTACTTTTGTGTAAAATTGAAATTTTGAAGACTAACTGCTGAAGTTTTTAACGTTTCTGCACATATTATGTACTCGTATTAACTTTAGAAAAAGGGGAAGTCTTCGTGAAGAATGGAAAAGATAGTGGACACAGATCTATTTTTTTAACCACTGGAATAGTTAAGTGTGGAGTGATCGAACAGCGCCACGACAGCTGCACTTGAAAGCGGACATCTTGCAATTTCTATAGGAAGTTCCTGAACAGGAAAGGTGGGTCCACGGAGATGCGTTTCGAGCAGGATGAGGGATAAACTAACACCAGAGTCGCTGACCTCTCCCAGGTTCTGCTCGTAAAACTCGCTTGTATATGTGTCTTACTCTGGCAGACATCTCGCAGCCGGCGCCTCTGGGAGTTTGCCACGAAAGAGTAAGGTCGCTGCCTTTAAATACAACCCTGGGTCTACAAACTGATGGCACTTCAGGCGATGAGAGCGTGGTTTGTCACGTTCCAAATTAAGGTTTGTAAAATCAGTTTTGAGATATACAAAAACCATGAATCTTGCAAATTCGTTCAGTAAAATCCCAAAATATGGGATTTTCAGGCATACTTACCTAAAACTTGTAATACTGCGCAATAACTCCCAAAACGTAATTTCGTGCACAATAAAAAAAGGACTAAAATACCGTCTGTTTAATGATTCAAATTTTGGTTATGGTTTCGTCCAGTTTCAAGATAGCAAAGAAAATGTGCAGTTACACGGGAATCGGGTCTTTAGTCAGAATATAGAAGAAATAGACTTAATCTGCTACGAAATAATTATACGAGTCGTCATTGCCAACAATATTATTTATTAAAATAGCAGCTTTATAATAGCTTTTTAATGAATAATATTGTTGACAATGACGACTCGTATAATTATTTCATTGGAAATACCAACGAAAACTCACCACAATACCAATATTAATCTGCTACACCGCAGACAAATTTAATTTAACTTATAGCATGAGGAAATATTGGAATCCATGCGTTAATTCTTGCATTCAACACTAGAAGAAAGGTAGAGTTAATGTATTCCAAAACAGTTCTAAATTTTAAGTATCTTCATCATTCAAAATATAGCCTGCACTTCTTAGCAATTTGCAGATGCTAGTCATCTATTAATGTTCCTAATTTGTTTGCACTGCGTCCTGTCTTACCGAATTTCAGTCTACCATTCGCGATGTTTTCCTCCGGAAGGAATGACCCGAATGGAGAACAGCTACTGATATTTACTCTCCGGACCCCAATAACAGTCACGTAGAGTTTAAGCTATCTTATAGGACAAAAAACAACAACAATGGAGCCAATATATGAAATATTTGAAGGAACTAGTTTTTTAAAACCTTGTACTGGAATGAATGTTCGATCCTCTTAGTGCACATTTAACGAGGAAGTCGAGTGGGAAAGTACACGAGATGTTGCACTCCTCCGCCCCTATTGCAAAAAACATGAGTTGTGTTACTTCAGTTTCCGAAAGGAATTCGATTGGTCATTGGGTAAGCGCGAGACCAACTCCACACTGCATAACGAGGCGCCGCCGTCGCGCGGTGTATGCGCTCCAGTGACCTCGTGTCGAAAAGAACGACGCTCGTTCGATTTGAACACGAAAATGGGTCGAAGAAGCACGCAGCCAGACTGGCCGCCCCTCGCGCCTGCGCCTCTTCTGCCTCGCTTGCCCAACCCCTCGAAAGCACCGCCAGATTGTCCGAAACGCCGCCGCATTGTTGCACCACTACTCCTGAAGCGTCGTCTCTCTTCGAAAGGGTTTTTAGTGCACCGCCAGAGAGAGTTCGGGCGAGCGCATCACGACCGACGTTTCTCTCGCAGGCGATTGTGAAGTACCCTCTTGACCGTGCAGTAGTGGCGGCAATAGAAAATGCCGAGAAACTATTTTTTTCTCTCCTAGCGTGCGCTTTTCACAATCTAAATATTTGAACTTAATATTTACAGTATAATTTCATTTGAAAAATATTAACTTTTTTAAAATAAAAATCCTACCTCTTAAATGAAATTGCCTACATAGGGAATGTCATTTTTAAATACGCCCTTATTACGAATGTGTCGTATATAACTGATGTGATTGGTCGTATTATCAGAAAAACAAGCTTGTGGATAAGCTTATCTTGTAAATAATAAGAAATTTTTTGATATGGAAGCATTGGTATTGTATAGGAGAGGTGAAGACGAGTGTTTACAAAGTGATCGAAATAATTCTAAAATAAGATATTTTGCTCTGTATGTAGAGTAAATACAATACAAATTTTGTGAATACTATTTTGCGAGGTATGTTTGGTTGAGAGGCAGATGCATTCATTTTCCGGGCTTGTGTAGAACTATGCACACAAACACTGCAATTTTCCTCGTGCATACTAGGAACAGTCAAGGAAGGGTAGAAAGACCCTGCCCAGGGCAACTGTTTCTTAGAAGTGACGAATAGAGCATCCTTCCAAGAAGGTTCTTTTTCCTGCGAAATCACCGAAGTTAAACCCTAATATTCTCGCTAATTTACGCGGTAATACGTACGCTCGTAAACAAGAACCAGTACCGCATGCCTTTTTCTGCACATCTTCACACAGACGCACCTCACTTTTAGCAAGTAGAACATGCGTTCTCTCTTCGATTACTATTATTTTCTCTTTGTATTACTTTTTTTTATTATCAGACAGCACATTAATGAATACAATTCGTTAATCTCTTAAAATTATTTATCCATTAAAACCGGCGCTTCATTGTGTCACGTAATTTTGTTGACAAACTAGCAAAGGATTTTCTTCGCATCAAGAGGAGTGAGCTCTTGGTGGGGGAAGGGGTGGGGGAGGGGTGGAAGCGGCGGGAGACGCTCAATTTTGGCGGGAAAGTGCACCGGCCGCGGCGTCGTCGGTGGGGACTCCCGGCGGCGGCGAGCACCTGCTCTGAGTACATCGCCGCGTCCGTCGCGCAGTCAGGAAAATCGATGTGCAGCTTTGCACATAGTCACGAGGCGACCACGCACGCCCAACCTGTTTCATTCTCCAGCCTCAAATTAAACCGTCATTAGAAAACTAGTATTTGTATAGTGTAGAAATAACAGCGGATTCCATTTTAATTTTTGAATGATTATTTTCCACCACGCGTTTACAAAGGAAGTGTGAAAAGAACTATCACAGGAGCACTTTCTTTATCACAAATAGACCGATAGTAATACCGAGCGTCTTGCTTTCGTAGTGAAACTTTTCTATTTTTCTCTTCCTCCCCAATCTCTCTTCGCAGGTGTGCTTGTTTAAATTCAAACGAACGTATTCTTCTTTACATTTTGGTTGCAACTGCAATTCCAATCAGTAAGCTATATTTGAATACAATCTGACTGCCCTCGAAAATATACTGCTACTTTATCGGCATCAAAACTCTTATGATTCACGTTTCCAGGAGACGCATGCCCGCACCCCGACGTGCACGATCGCCCCTTCGAAGCGCGGGCCACTGCAGCCGCACATTAAAATTCAACGGCCGTTTTAGCACCGGGCACCGCACGGCGGAGCACGACCCCCCTCGCGGCGCGGCGAGGCGCCGCCCGCTGAAAATCGAAGGAGCGCGGAGGGCCGGCAGCGCTGCGGCGAGACGAGACGACACGACACGACACGGACGCCGGCGCCACCGCTGCCGCTGCCGTTGCCGAAGGGGTCGGAGAAGGCGAGGGAGCCGGCGAGCCGCGCCCCCGCTGCACCGCCCACGCCATGCGCGTTCTTACGCCCACGCCTCGTGCCGCGCCGCGATTTCCACTCACGCACCCACTGCCCACACAACACGCATTAGAGTTCAAACATTCACTCATCTCACACACACACATATATACACTCACAGATTACGATCATGCGATTTACTCCGAAAATGAACGTTTGTAGGCGGTGACGAGAAGAGAGTTTCAATGGCGGGTGTGGTGCTGCTTGTTCGATGCCAGTAGATTGCGGGGGAAAATACACGGGTGCGTGCGAGGTAGATGCATGCGAGTAAAGATGCGTCCGAACGAGTGAGGTCGCGAGCGGTGGCAGGCGTTCGGAAGCGCGCGCGCGCGTAGCAACAGGCCGCAAGTTCGATGCTTGCGCCCGGCCACATGGCGCGCTCACAGTCCTCCATCTGCTGCGCGGTCGCCGGCCGGCCGCTGCCGGGCTGGGCACTCACCGATGGCTTTCCGGTGCTTGATGTGCTTTTTGATGTTGAGGGCCTCGGCCGCTTTGGCCTGAACGTCCATAGCGGGCGGCGTGGCGGGTGGAGGCGGCGGTGGGCAACAGCGTCGCGGAGCGCGTATCCGATCGCCGGCTGGTAGGCGTGACCTGGCGCGGCCGACTGACGCGGCGCAGCGCTGCCGCTCGCGGGAGGCGGCGGCGGAGGCCGCGACGCGCCGCCACCACGCCCTCGCTGTCGCTGACACGTTCCGAGCGCCCATTGGCTGCGCCGAGCGCAACGGCGTTGCTAGGCGACCGGACGCGCCGCCACCGCCGCCACCGACAGTCGTCTGGGCGAAGAGCCGTGTTGGCGAGGCCGCGCGGCGCGAGTTCCACGGGATCGCGTAATGCAGCACCGAGCATACGAGTCTGTCGCCTGCAGCTATCTGTGAATTGCCGCAGATAGTTTAAGATGCGTTTGTCAAATATCCTCATAGGAGGAATGTTTCTTTTCAATCTCAATGGTTGACTCCGAATTTTTGGGACTGAGAGTGTAGTAATTGGATGTTTCATTCATTTTGTTATAATATCATTTAATCACAGACTTATGAAAGCTAAAACGAGAGGGGGCCAACTACATTTCTGGACCCCCTTTTCCATTAAACATTTTTCTTTACTTATGACATATTTTATTAGGAAATAAATAAAAAGTACAACAAATGAAATTAGTATTACTTAAATGACTCGATTAATAAATACAATTTACTTTATGTGCAACCATTTATTATAGGATTACCAGATGACTTAAGGAGATATTGCGCAAATGTCAAATGTCGTTCCCCAAATTGTCAGGTGAAAAAAGGGAAAACCAGAAATTGAACAAATTTACTGAAGTAAAATGTTTCATTACGTAAGGCTATTAGGGCGTTTCAGACGCGATTACATTCAGCTTTTCCAAACCTTTTACCTACCTCCCCAAACAGGTATAATTTGGCCCAACTGCACCCCTTTTAGTTTTCCTCGTAAGTACAAGGAAGAGCTCGATCAGTGCTCTCAAGATCGCCCTTTCGTTTCCATATTTGAATAACATGAATGAGAAAAATAACAAACATTTTAACGTTGTTCATTTTGTATAACTCTAGTATTGTAATGGTCATATAGAGAAAGGAAAGTTTGTTATTTTGAAATGGTATGGAATGTTCTTAATTTATTGAAAATGATTTCTACGAATAACATGGGATATTACAAAGAGAAGGAAAGAGGGGGTTCTTCCCTTCAAATTAGAATAATTAAAATAAGTATAGTATTTTCGTTAGATTACATACTCACTTCCGAAGATTCTGCCACTTGCGTTCACTTGTGATTACTTGTGTTTGAGGTTCCCACTCAAACACCTATTTGAGTCACCCATGAATGGAAACGAAATTGTTTCTTTTTCGCTCAAGACACCGGAGGGGACAAAGAGCGGACGGGCAATCGGACAATGCCTTCACAGGTAGCCAAAAGTGAAAGTGGTCTGTGACGCGAATGTGAGCGAAATCTGATCGCGGGATACAATCCGGCGATTCCATATCATTTCATATCAAATTTACCGTTTACTAATTATCTTTGTTAATAGTCTACAACCGCAAAACCCGAGTTATGGACATCAATTTTCGCATTCGATTTGTTAGAATAGACTTTCAAAACGCGCTTTCGAAACAACCCTCTGTAATCGTTAGAAATAAGTAAATAATGATCTTTGTTGAGCCCATTGCAGAGATCCGTTGTCGGATGCAAACGAAGAGAAAGACAAGACATCTGTCTGAAATTAATATTTTTATGACGTTGCTGTGTCGAATTTTAATAATTAACTTGCTCTCTTAACGTAAGTTAGGCCTCTTCTCGGGACAGACAGTGATGAACGCTTTGTCTAAGATTACTTTATGTCTTCTGCGCCTTTCGTCGATCGGTAACATCACGTACAGGTTTGTATGGCTCCAGTGAACTACATGCGTAAGTAGAGGCTTATTTAATACTTAACAGATTTTACAAAACATTTTTATTCAAATGTCGATATTGTTTTAGGTTTTTGAATTCTTCCTTGCACTTTTGGACGAGACGGGTAACGGACTAATCGACTTAAAGGAACCAGTCCAATTCACTTTCATTAAATTCGCTTTATCCAAACTATTGACTTTCAATTCTATTTTACCTTTGGCCTTGTTAGCTTGTCATTTACGGCCTATATCATTAGCCTCTTCTCACTCGTTTTCAATTTCACAAACGATTATCTAATGATATTTCGTACGTGAGCAATTATTGATATTTTCGTTTGTTTTTGTATCGTGTCAGATTCTCATTAGGAAGTAAGATATTTCTAATTACAAACTGACTTTCGCTCTTTGACTTACATACAGTCCATAATATATACTCCTTGCCCGTTTATCACTCATATTGATCGCAACAAATTCCAAAGGAGGATACGCATTATAAATGCACATTTTTATTTCCTGCTAACCAATCTTAATTTTCTTTAATATTGAAAAAAAAATTATGGAGGCTGGGGGGTCGTCCCCTCTCACCGACTTAGGTGACTCAGGCAATCAATTGATGTCACTGCAGCGCCTCCGACAGGCTCTAGGGTTTGAGTCCCGCCGCTGACAGGATTTGCGACCTTAACTAGCTGGCTGAATCGAATTCTGCCGCTGTCAGGAGGAGAATCCTAGTGGCGGCTGCTCATAAGTAGTTTTTCCGTGATTTCTCGGATCAACTCTAGGTGAATTCCGCAGCAGTACCCTAACAAACGGGCCATGGACAGCGCGCGATCTTTCCTTCCTCTTCCTAGTCCTATCCTCACTGCTTACTTACGCTTACACTTACATACACTACCCCGCAACACATGGAAGCTAGAGCGGGCTACAGCTGGGGCGGTGCCCCGCTGTTGAGAGATACCTGGTTGGGCTGGGTTTTTGTTAGTGATTCCGGGCGCGTCATCTACTGAGGTCATTAGTCCAGGAATTGAAGTGCGTGTTTTTCCTAAGGATGTGGTGGTGGTCTTCCCCTGCTGGATGGCGAGATCCGACGTCGACCCACCATCGGCTAGCGGGGTTGTCCCCAACCAGGTATCTCCCACCAGCGGGGCACCGCCCCAGCTAGTGCAAGCTCTAAGCTCCCGACCGGTCTCCCGGCATGTATGGTAGAGTAGTGCATGTAAGTGTGTGTGAAAGGGGTGAGGATAGGACAAGGAGGAGGAAGGAAACATCGCGCTCATCGCGTGTCGTTAGTTAGGGTACTGCTCTGGAATTCGCCTGTTGTCGATCGGAGAAATCACGGAAAACTACCGATCAGAGCAGCCGGCCTCTAGAATTCTCCTCCAGACAGAAACTGAATTCGACTTAGCTGAGTAGATAGTGTCGAAAGTCTTGCCACTGTCGAGGCACGAACCTAGGTCCCCCTGGTCAGAGGCACTGCAGTGACATCAGTTGATGCACTGAGCCGTCTCCCGGTTTCCTAGTTGAGGGAAAACCCCGCTCGAACGCCGTGTAGATCGGCGCCGGACCTCGCCATTCGGTGGGGAAGACCGTGCGAGTTATGACCTTACCTGTCGATGCGCCCAGAAACATGAATCTACCCCCTACCCCTCGGAAAATACTTTCTGAGTGTACCGTTCCACGTTGTCCACCTGCCTGCCCTTGCACCCCTCCCGCGGCCCTTGCCCTTAGCCCTACCTCCGCGAGTGCGTACGTGGCGCGCGTCGCGTCCGCGAACGGCCGTGACCCAGTTCGGGCGTCGCCCTGGCGACGGCGGCGGCGGCGCGGCGGTGGGGCCGCGGGTCGAACGCCCGACGCACGCGTGTCGGCAGCGGGGCCACGAGCGGCCTAGGGCGCGCACACATGCGTCGCTCAAGCGAGGGGCAGCCGCTACGCCTACGCCGCATTTAACACAGGTCGAACGGGTGATGTAAGCTGGCGCTGGGTGTTGGGGTTGCTAAGGTTTTCGTCATTTGAATTTCATGACTTTTTGAGTGTCTCGGCCTCTACATGTGATCAGAAGAACGTACTCTTTCTATGTTTCCTGCATCTGTTAGTGAGCAGAAACTTTAAGAATTGGACCGGTTGAGTTTAGCTCAGACCAGAATTTTCGCTGACTCAGCAACGATTCTGAGGTCCCAGAGTGCGGGTCTTCACGTGTGTTTCATGGTTTCTCCGATCCACATCAGTCGAATGTTGGAGCAGTACCCTATCAAATGGGCCACGATCCGTGCGGGATCTTCCTTTCCTCTTCCTTGTTCTATCCTCTTCCGTTATACATATAGGAGTACAGTTACAAGCACTGCACTGTCACACATGTGGGGAGACTAGTCGGGGCTTAGAGTTTGGCGCGCTGGAGAACATATTTCGATGGGAAATCTCTCGCAAGTCGACATGGGGCCGGCACCGGATCTCACAATCCTGGTAGGGAACGTCGCCACCTTCCTCGAAAATCACACACTACTCTAACGGGACAAATGTCCATAGCAGTTGACGCAACCCGGAAACAATCAATATAAGAATAAGACAACTTTTATTATTAATAACAATTGTTTTGACAGTAGTTTGTGTCGAAGTAAACAAATAATAATAATAATAATAATAATAATAATAATAATAATAATAATATATTTTTTATTGTGACATGAAAGCGAAATGTGAATGTTAATAGCAACGTTAATTTGCAGTCTTGACAACTTCAGTAAATACAATATAAAATAAAACTTAAGTATTAATTAAACACTTTGAACACAAATTATGTAAAGAGTTGCCGATATGGTGCAGTAATTTATTCCCATAAAACAGCGTTAAAAAGTAATTGTGGGAAAATTGAAAGAAATGATTACAATGGTAGATAATTAAATCATTGTGGTTGTCTTTCATAACCGTGGTCCGACTCTCCGTCAACTCACTCGGAATTTTTGGCTAGTGGAGAGTATGCAGCATGTCCTCTCGGGAATCTTCGATTGCCCTCGCCTCTCGTTCTGTGTTTGCTCCGCGTATCAGTAAACCCCCGTTGCCACAAGCATCGCCTCAATTGCGTTAGGTCCAGTTAGCCGACGATTTCGTGTGAGCTTTGGACAGATTTCTGATCGTTTTAGACCTATTCGCGAATAAGCCGTGAGTGAAACCAACATCAACAGCATATAAACAGAAAGTAGGAGAGTGGTGGTTTCATAGTAATCGTAAGAAGTTTGCAGAAATTGTGCAGAGTGTAGTGTTGTAAAAACATAGTGATTGACACTTGTGGAATCGTATTCGTCTTGGAGTAAATTCGTCGATGATAAATTTCCCTTAGTTCTTTTCTAGCAGTGACAGATTGCTGACTGGCGACATGGTCCGACTTTCTGCCGAGCATCCGTATTCAAGTGAAGGATTTGGGGCAATAGCAAGAAA